GGGTGGATGGTTTGGCTACGAGCGGCACCACGCCGGTTTCCGTGCAGTTTGAATAAACCAGCAAAGATCTCATCCGCCTCCGCCGTGCAAAACCACCGCTGCGGGTGGATTTTGTCGTGGCGCAGGGTCAGTCTCTGATGTCCCTATTCTTATGTCCTCCACGGAGCTGAGGAGCTGCTCCTAACTCACTTCTTCCCCTGTTCTTGCCGGCAGGCTGTCCAGGGGACGGGACTGGCATTTATAGTCTATTCTGAAGCGATCAAAAACATGGAGGTGCCCCAGCTGTACTCCGTGCTCTACTTCGCCATGCTGCTGATGCTGGGCATCGGCAGCATGCTGGGAAACACCGCCGCGATCCTCACGCCGCTGACCGACAGCAAGGTCATTGCCGCCCGTTTCCCCAAAGAGGTGATCTCGGGTAAGGGCCCGCCACGTCGCAGCGCAGGTGACGGAGCGAGAGCACGTGTGTGTGTGCAAAGGCTTTGGTGTCCCACAGCCGATGAGGGTCCCTCTTTGACCTCGGGAGGAGCAGGGAATATCAAATACGCTGCCCGAAGGGTTTGCCTGCCCTCGGGAAATCCTGCCCAGCCTGTCCAGCACCTTCCCTCGGGCGCTCTCAAGGCACTAGGGCCATCAGGGCTGTGTATTTCCAGGCTTCCCAACACACCCCAGCTCCTTCAGACCGGTGAAACTCAGAGGGCCAGGACAAATGTCAAGATACCTGCAGCGAGTGGCTCTTCGGTCACATCGCCGGTATCCCAACTGCGAACCACCTCAGTCCTGTTTGGGCATGGAAATCAGTTGTCCTGACCCTGCTGGGATGTCCTGTCCCCTGTAGGACAAGAGCAAACGGTCTCAAGTTGCGCCAGGGGAGGTTCAGGCTGGACATTAGAAAGAACTTCTTCACTGTTAGAGTCGTTAGGCATTGGAACGGGCTCCCCAGGGAGGTGGTGGAGTCACCATCCCTGGAGGTGTTCAAAAAACGTTTAGATGTGGCGCTTCAAGACATGGTTTAGTGGGTTTAGCGGGCATGGTGGCATCAGGTGTACGGTTGGACTTGATGATCTTTGAGGTCTCTTCCAACCATAATGATTCCATGATTCTATGTGCTATGACTGTGCCAGTCTAAGGAGCCCCAGTTTAAGGGCACACCAGCACCATCCCATACACAGGGACAGATCTCTTCTAAAGGGGAAAAAAATTCTCTTTCTCCTCCGAGAAAGCTGCTCCCTGACAGAAATCAGTAGAAATCCCACCAGCTTTATCGTCATGAGAAGTATGACCTTTCCCCCAGGCAATCAGCTTTCCAGGTGTAACGCAGGGTCCGTTTTATCCCCGCAGGTGCCGTGTGTTTCATTAACTGTGTCATTGGCCTAATCTTCACCATGGAGGCTGGAAATTACTGGTTTGACATATTCAACGACTACGCGGCCACCCTCTCGCTGCTGCTCATCGTGCTGGTAGAAACCATTGCTGTGTGTTACATCTACGGGATAAGGAGGTGAGAAAGAGCCTGAACCCTCCTCTCTCCATAGTGGGAGAGCTGGGGGTGTGACTGCTGGCCAAGAATAAAAAAATCCCACCTTGGGCTAAGTTTTCCCCCTCGGCTATGGTGGCGGCGAGGCGATGGGGGTCTCCCCGGCCCTGCAGACCCCTTCCAGGGGTCTGACACCTTCTCTGCGGGCAGGAGAGCACGAATGAGCCGCACCGACTGCTCCCTGCTCTTCTTGTCTTTGGTCTCGAGAGCACCCTCCGCTGAAAAATTCCATGGTGATTCCGGACGAGCACAACAGTGCCCGTAAGCCTGGTTTCAGAGGTGGTCACCTCGCACATCGCTGGCCTCCCAAGTCCTCCCCTGTGGGTAAAAGCAAGGGTCAGCATCAGGAAGGGTTTGAAACGGCAGAGGTGTTTGCACTCAGGGCATCCGAAGGAAAAGGCTTCAGCATTTGCTTTGCTGGTCCGCAAGCGCAGCGCGTGTAGACACCTGCATCGCTATTACACCCTCGGTGGGATCAAAGCCCTCGAGTCAGACCCAGGTTTCCTGCGTGATTTTAGGTACCCCCCCAGCATTAGCACTCCTTCCAAGGCAGCCGAACAACAGCGGTGAGAACAACTCAGCTACACAAAAAGGAGCAGTGTGTTCTCCGCAGTACTGCTTAATTACTGCTTTTCTCCATCAGCTTACACCAGTAACGGTCCAAACTTACCCCCCAGGCAGAATTTTGTTGGGACTTCTCCTGCTGTACCTATTTCTAGCTCCTCTGCCGCAGCCTGGGATCCTCTCGGAAGCCCTGCTATCTTTTTTACGTGGCGAGGGTGAAACCAAATGATCCTGGTGAGCCAGTTCCTCGGACAATACCTCTCTGCTCATTACTGGTCAACTGTAGCCCCCTTCCCATCGTACATACCGAATTCCGTAGGTGGTTTTGAAGTGACTCAGATCAAGGTATCGACCGAACATACACAGCTGCTCTCAAAAACGTGGTGGTGTGTTGTTTTTTTTTTTAACACAGATTTGAGAAAGATCTTTACACCATGATTGGACGCAAGCCCAACTGGTACTGGAAAATTATGTGGGCTTTTGCTAGTCCTTTGCTAATTATAAGCCTACTTATATTTTACCTCACGGACTATATCCTCACAGGAACGCTGCAATACCAAGCATGGGATGCCACACAGGTAACAGTTTTGGGTTTGGATTTTTTGTTTTGTTTTTTGTGGGTTTTTTTTGTTGTTGTTGTTTTGGGTTTTGTTTTTTAAACTTCCCTTAATTCCTGCAAGGACACAGCCTTCCCTCCTAACGCAATTGTTCCATAAAAGTGCCTTCTGAAAGCTTGCGGCCGAGGTCGGGGCCATCCCTTAATTTTGGGGAAAGGCGAAACAGAGAAAGCTTGACCTAGTGACAACGGTGCAATGGTTCTGTAAAACGGACCAATTTCCCTCTACGATTCTTAATTGACCCCTTCAAACAGTAAAATTTTACCAATGTTGAACACCCAAATATCATCTTAAAAAATACACTTTTACACAGGAAAGGTACTTGCAAAGTGTAGTGTTTTGAACAAAACTGGTGGTATTTCAACAGTACTGATCTGCTGCTAGAGCAGGTTTTTCCATTTCCACATATATTTTTCTTCACGGCCAAAACACTTTTGTACGAATGCTGAACTGTGTATTTATCACCAGGGAATTACTAGTGGCTAAGTAATCACTGGTTTCATAACCTTCCTGTGGAAATGTCCCCAGCACGCAAAACCAAATGACCCACATTGTTCTCACGTCATCGCCGTGACCGGGTGTCAGCAGGAGCCCACAGGCTCCAGGAGAGGAACACGGGAGACCTGACGGAGGTCAGGGCCCAGCCACCTCATTAAGAAACATGAATTGAGCCAAACTCTGCACTTTACCAAAGCTTTTCCCCAATATTTTTGTCAGCAGCTCTGCTCTCGTGGTCGATTTTAAGCTCGTCGGGTGGGGCAAAGCGAAGCGCTGAGGACAGCCGTGGGCTGCTCCAGCCTGCAGAGCTGCTCAGGGCTCCTGTTCAGCTACGGACACACGGCTCTGCCCCAGACCCGACTCCAGGACGCTGAAAACCGCAGAGCCCTCAGCTCCAACGCTGCTGCTTCTCTCCCTTGCAGGGGCAGCTGGTGACAAAGGATTACCCAGGCTATGCCCTCGCCGTCATCGGGCTGCTGGTGGCCACATCCACCACGTGCATCCCCCTGGGAGCACTACTGACTTTTGTACGGAAGAGACTAAAAAGTTTCAACCGTTGCGTGAACACCAACAGCTGGATTTGGGAAGACCTTACCTGCCTCGTCAGTGACCGGGCACTTCTGGAAGACAGCAGCAACCATTATTTGTAGCGGCTATTTATAGAGTTGAGAATTGTGGGTGCTATATTGACCAAAAAGTGCTCTTAGGAGGTTCCGCAATGGTTTGGAAAAAAGAAAGCTCTTCTGTAACAAGATGAAGCTTTAAAACGGCCTCTGTAAGAGAGGGAAAAATGGAAGAGCAGCTCACAAAACGCTAGCTAGCACAAATTAACCAGCGTATCAACCCATGACACAACGTTAGGTAATTCTTTTCCACTCTGTTATAGCATTGCCTATGTGGAAAAGTGAGCAACCAACTAAGCATGTTCCTGTGCCAAAGTACGGGCGAACACCCTTACCGTTCCAGAAAGGCACGCTTAAGCATGTGCGTTATTTGAAATGACATCTGTACTTCATCAACAGGTTAAAACTGTTGAAGTCTTGCAAAATGAACGTGATAACCCCTTTCCTACAAGGGAAAGGTCAGTAGGATGGCATTTGAGATAAACGTGGCCAACACCGCTTCTTTTATACTTGTGTCCAGCAAAGCAGTTTTTTTATATATATATA